TTTGATGTTTTTATATAGCTAAAAATCACATTTTTAATATATTTTGATAAAAGTTTATGAAATATGTAGTTAAAACTTGGAAGTTGTGAGTCTCATAAAATATGTGATAAAAATAAAAATACTGACTTTGACTTTTATTTTATGATTTGTTTAAGCCCTATTTTTTATTTATTTATCAAAATGCATTATGAAACAGTGATTTGACTTCATTTCAATAACACATTCTTCAATAAAATAATATTACACACAAATCAAAAACTTTTTCCTTTCTTTTAATCACACGTTCTCTATCATAATACTATTGCAAAATGCACTTTTTAAAAGATTAGGAATCAAACAACTCCTTAATTTACACCAAACATGGACCTAATATATTTAGGATTATTCTATTTTTACATTCAGGTGCTAGATGACAGAATGCAGAATAGTACAAGTGTCATTCTGTCATTAGCTGATGAAAATTAGTTGTTCTTATCAACCAATAATAGAATGCCAATAATGTATCTTGTCACCCAAAATACACACCTAAGTATACATGTAACAAAACTCATATATTTACATCAACACAAACTTAAACTAGTAAGTACAGTACAACCTTAAAATTTAAACTTGCATTTTCAATATTTAGATGAGAAACGTATTATAACAAATAAATTATTATTTTCCCAAAGAGTTGGCGAAAAGTAACTAACAAGTACTTTGGGTAAAACAAGTTTTTTTTTTTTCTTTTTTTTTTTAAAGGGTGAATGGTTTAGTTTAATTTCAAGTGATTTTTATCTATAGAAATCTAAATCAAACATATTTTCAAATGGTTAGGTTTGTTTTGAAATGACTGAAACCTAAACCACGTGGAGTCGACCAATGGATTTAAAAATAACAGTTTCGATTCGATTTGACAAGTTGACTTTTTTTTTTGTCACCCCTAAATTCATCACTTATAGCTCATCGGATTGACGAAAATCATTTAATTGATAGTCATATTATAATTGATCTTACACATTGCAACAATGTTCTTAGACTTTAGAGCAAATGAATTTTTTCCTTCTTTTAAAATTTTATGATGCAGTGTAGTTGTAAATTGATGTCACGTAAAACATAAAAGATTTGTCGTGGTATAAATGCGAATAAGTAATTTTCATTGATTTAATGAGTAATTGTGACGGATTGGTGAAATTTTAAATCAAATTAATGTCCACTAATTCTTTCAAGTAAAATACTATCAATTTTTCAACTAGTCAAATATCAATTTTAATCACACATTTCTTGTGATCTACAACTTAATCAAATTTTCACCACATATTCATCAACTTAAACAGGCTAAAACTTTTATCAAAAGTTTCGTCAAACAACCTCAAAGATAAATTAAAATTTAGTACCACGATTTAAATTCAATAATCATTGATGAAATTATCCATCATTTAGGCCCCGTTTGGTACCCATTTTTGTAAGAATTAAAATAAAAAATATAGTCGTTAGAGGCCAACACAAAAGATAGAAAGTCAAATATGATGACTTGATGTGATAGATAACAGTCATATTTTTCATTTTTGTGGCCAAAAAGTGAAAATCAAATCGAGGCTTATTCTTAATTTCTGCTCTAAATTCAACTAGTCCAAAACATCATTACAAAGATACGTGTCATTTACATAATTTTATAGTACCGGCATGTTTTATAAAACTCTTAGACGAAAATCAAAATATCTTATGATAAACATCCCACTTCAAAAATTCATGATAGAGAACTATTGGGTTTTGCCTATTATCAAGAAAACAATTGGAAACAACAATTTTGATCTATGAATTTTTATCCTTTTCTGTATAGAAGTCTATTTAATGAAAGTAAAAAATCAAATGACCAAACGTTCTTTTTGAACATATATTTAAATAGATTCACGAGTGTTATGCACTTATTCATCACATATTTTTATTTACTTGTAGTTTGAGTTGTTTATAAATACTTTCTAGACGAGGCTAATGTAATGTTTGTGTATATATATATTAAACACGTCATTTTGCTATAGATTTGATTGATTTACACGGTTTAGAAATGACAAAGGCAAATGCGATAAGCAAGTATGCGTCCCATGTCCGATATATTACACCCCCCACCCCACTCCCCACCCCTTCGACCAAGAAGTCATACTTGATTTAATTTATTGGAAGATTCCATCACCAAATTTCTTGAAATTCTTTCTTAAGTACAATGTGTCAACATATGATTTTCAATTAATAAAAATGTCTCTCTTTATTAAATTGAATAAAATCATTGTTTAAACGGCTTTTCCATTAAATCTTTTCTTTTAACTAAGGAGGACAAATGGTCTAATTTGTATAGGATTTGGCGAGACACTTTGGAAAATGATTATCTTTAATGCTTCGATTACTTGGACAACGTACTATGGAATTCTAAAAGTGTACTGGGAATCTAAAGTAGTCGAGAGAAAATAAATTCTATGGCTCGAGATATGACGAGCATGACTTAAATAAATTTCACGAACCTAACTGATACTATCAAAAATCGTACCTGTTGATTTTCCGAGCTTGACGATTGATAATGAGTACGAACGAGATCTTCCGGTGCCTGCAACAAAGGCGTTGAGGTGTGTCATCGTCGCCCCTCCGATGCTTAAGTCAGAAAGAGAATTTGTACGTAAGGCTATGAACTGAAAATTATGTAAAACGTATCTGAATAATGATCAAGGGTTTTGTATTTATAGAGGTAGGTGGTGTGTTCATACTAGGATTCCGTAGTGCACTTGTAATAGGACAGTTTGATTTTGCAATCTTATACTAATGAGTCCTACGCGAGATAGGAGTTTGAATTGTGGTATAACTGAAATACCAATTATTTAATAGAGTTCTTCTGGACATAGGAGACATAGGTTGAGGAGTTTAAGTCAAAATAAATTTCTTATTAGATAAGGCGTTGACGCTGGGGACATGTCGAGGACATAATCCCAAGGACACGTCGAATGACATTCCACAAACTCTTGGGTCAAGAGCTCGGGCATATGAAAGACATCCCGAGCATACTGATACACAAATCGACGAAATAGAGTCCTCGAGTTTGTATACGTCGGGAACAGTATTTGATAACATCACTAACTAAACGGTAATCACTTTAATACCAACTTAGATAATGAGATCTGCATTTGGGTTATAAACTGCACATCGTTCGTCCTTCCAACTTGGGACACCAACCACTATCAAGACTTCAAAACGACCAATATTCATTTTCTACAATAAAACCAAAAGAGAGAAAAAATAAAATAAAAATTTCTACACTTCTAACATTGACCCGTGAAGTTTTTTTTACTCCCAAAAGTCAAGTATTGTTCTTGATGAATGCTCACTCCCACACGTCTTGTTGTGAATGGAGTTTTTGTCATGTCAATCATTCTCAACCTAAAATAAGTCAATTACTCCAAATGCCATATGGAAAAGCCTCTACCAGAATACAAACAATGCAGTCTTTGTTTACTTTTATTTATTTATTTTTATATATTTTTTAAGAATATATTCTTATTTCTTTCTTTCTTTTATTGAATTGAGGGTCACCACTCTTTTTCTTGATTTTTTCCTTACGAAAGTTAACTTAAAATAAGGTTGTTGGTTCAATTATAGGACAATTATAATTAATTGTAAGCGCATGCTAGTTAACTTAAAAATGGTGGATGCCTATTTAGGAAAAACAAATAAAGATCGGCTTTTAAAAAGTCAAAAGATACTCTTGGATAAAAAGTCAACAAAAATTCGTTTTGATAATTTTCTAAAAGTAACTTAAAGTTTTTCTAGAAAGTCGACTTAAAGTAACATAACTTAATCAAAAAGTTCTTTTACAAAAAGCAAAAGCTCTATCAAATGTACCCTAAATTAAATTATTCGGATCGATTATCTATAAGAAGGTTTGGTACTTGATTTGATTATTCTTACCCTAGAATAATTTTTTTTTAAAAAAAAACTAATAGTAGTTTGGATTCTTTCAGCACCAATCAAATATTTACTTGAAAAGTTACTTTTTTGGATACGTTATTTCGCCTCTACCAGAATACAAACAATGCAGTCTTTGTTTACTTTTATTTATTTATTTTTATATATTTTTTAAGAATATATTCTTATTTCTTTCTTTCTTTTATTGAATTGAGGGTCACCACTCTTTTTCTTAATTTTTTCCTTACGAAAGTTAACTTAAAATAAGGTTGTTGGTTCAATTATAGGACAATTATAATTAATTGTAAGCGCATGCTAGTTAACTTAAAAATGGTGGATGCCTATTTAGGAAAAACAAATAAAGATCGGCTTTTAAAAAGTCAAAAGATACTCTTGGATAAAAAGTCAACAAAAATTCGTTTTGATAATTTTCTAAAAGTAACTTAAAGTTTTTCTAGAAAGTCGACTTAAAGTAACATAACTTAATCAAAAAGTTCTTTTACAAAAAGCAAAAGCTCTATCAAATGTACCCTGAATTAACTTATTCGGATCGATTATCTATAAGAAGGTTTGGTACTTGATTTGATTATTCTTACCCTAGAATAATTTTTTTAAAAAAAAAAACTAATAGTAGTTTGGATTCTTTCAGCACCAATCAAATATTTACTTGAAAAGTTACTTTTTTGGATACGTTATTTCTTATTGTTTTATAATCCAGGAAAAATTTTGCTTGTGAGAATTTTCTTATAAAGCCTTTTTCGAATATGTTATTTCTTAATGCTTATGAAACAATAACAAACAAATTTCAATGTTTAAAGTTCAATTCCACTTATATGCATGGTGTCTCTTCATTTATTATTGTGATATTTATTTGCTCTTAATTAATCATTCATAAGTCAAAGTAAATGAAGAAAATCTCTCGATAGAAATAAATCCCTACCATAGTCTCTCAATTATTTCAAAAGTCAAAACTGATCCCTTTTGGAACATTCCCCCACACCTACCCCCACCCCCACCTCCATAAAACGACACTACAAAACAAGCCCCCACCCACGACTTCCTTCAATGCAACAGTCAAGTTCCTCCTCTTCCATCCCCTTCTCCTCTATTCAACAAAATGTTGGGAAAGAAGCTTGGTTCAATGAAGAAACTAGCCAAGAAGGTTAAGGTCCTTGGCAATGCCGACCGCCATCTATCACAAAAATACGAGTGTTTGCTCAGAGATGACGAAGGAGGAGCCTCCCCAACCGCCACCACCAGACGCACAGGTACTTTTGCAGTGTACGTAGGCGAGGATCGTCAAAAATTCGTGGTCCCAACAGCTTATCTCTCCCACCCTCTGTTCAAGATATTGCTAGAGAAGGCCTACAATGAGTTTGGATTTCAGCAAAGCAATGGCCTGGTTCTACCCTGCAGCGTCACTGTATTTCAGGAAGTTATAAGTGCAGTTGAATGCAGCCATCGAAAATTTGATTTTGGAGAATGGGTAGAGGAGTTTATTTAGGTAATATTATATATATGAGCCTGTAAAATACATGCAGCTCATCAAATAGGTCCAGCATACTGTTTAAGACACTGCCAAGCTTGAGAATTTTGAGGTAGTTATTCAGTTAGTCAACTATTGTTGTAAATATTAGCAATGCACAAGAAATTCAGTAGCTGTAACCTGTAATGGTCCAACTTTGTTCTCCTCTACCTCTCTTCTGCATCTTTTATTCTAAGCTCTTCTTTTTTCTTTGCTACATTCGACATCGAAATGAAAGTTATAATAATTTTTGCTTCATTTCAAGGCCTGCTAGAATGAGCGACCATCGAAGTTGGTGCCAGTCCCCCTGTGTGATATCTTCGTCGACTTGTCAATGATAAAGAACACAAGTTTTCCGCACACCTCTCTTGCACACAGAAAAGGCCATGAAATGCCAAATATATATACTGAATATAGGTTAATCAGTGAATTGCCCAATATATATCTGAATATAGGTTAATCTGAAGTAGAGGAAATAATTGTATCCACAGAGTCTAGCTAATTTCAAATAGATCACGATCACTGACTAAAATGTAGATTCGATGGATCTATAAAATATATCAATTCATGTAGTGCGATTATATGAAATTCATGTTACCGTTTTAGATATAACCAACCTGATGAATTGCTCCTACAATGTAATGGGAAGTAAGTGTTTGACTTAGTACACAAACCTCAGAACACATTCTGAAGCCATCAGATCTTGAATCTAATAGTAGTAATACTTATTACGTGTTTTAATAACAAGACAGACAAGAATGAGCTGACAGAAATTGGATCATAGATTCATAATTATGAATTGGAGAAGTCCAAGCTCCAATTAACACATGGCCTAGGGAATATACTGACGAGCCATTCTGAGTTGACATTGACTTACCTTCTCCCAGAGCTCCAAAATGCAACGCTTCAATACATGCAGACGGGCTTATGAAGTCGGACCTAATCACTGCTCTTGCAATGTACAAGCAATTTTAATATGACACCCACAAAAGAATCCTAGAATGATTCACTTCCTTCAATAAACATCAGCTCGTTCAGTTGTCGGTACAAATGTAGTCGCTTCCATTCAAAAGAATCCTTTTCATTTCATCCACAAATTCATGCATTTGCTGCCTCGAGTGTAATGGGGAAGGATATACACATGCACAATCCAATTCCCCATCTCTTATAGTGTCAAATATAGCTAAGGATGGGCCTACACCATGAACTGAGGCACATCCCATGAAGTCTTCTATCCCAATTCCTTGATGCTCTTTATTTGAATGGTTGATCACTACGTCCTCAAAGACAGATATCAGTGAAGTTCTTAGTGATCCTGATGGTGTTAAACCTGGGTTCTCTATTGCTTTGCACATCAAAAAGTTGATATCGGCCATGTCTGAAAAATGCTTCTTGTTGTTCTTGGCATTAGCGAACGAATTGTATGTTCGTTTTGCCAGCTCCCATAAATTTTCCCCTCCCCCGACATCATGGGTGTTCAAGATTGCAGAATGATAAAATCCTGCAAAATTTAGACCATTATGTTCAGAGCAGGAAAGAGAGAATGAAGAGCAGAAAATGGTTTATGTTTGCAATCAAAGTCATTAGCAGATAATTTTACCAGTAATCCCGCAGAATTTGGAACATTAAGTTATTTAACCCACTCTTTGCGTACAAATTAAAGCGCAAATAATTTTATTGCCAATTCAAATTTTGCTAGATTTTATCTTTATATTTAGAGCATGCTTGGCAAACCTTGAAAAAAAAGTATAGTTAGTTTTTAACTTTTTTCTCATGTTTGGATAACTTACTTTTAAATACAAAAGTTGCTTTTCTTACCTTACCGTTTCTCAAAACGAGTGACTGAGTATTTATGACTGTCGCCAATAAAAAGAATAGTTGATTTTTATATTGCTTATTTACTTGTAAGTACGTTTGCTAGATCATAGCTAAATTCAGTCAGATATCTGATACTTTGCTGAGACACAAGGAGTTGCAGTCTAAAAGATCGGGAAAGAAAACCAAGAACAATCGAATCTAAAATGTGCCTGAAAGATTGTAACACTGTGATTGCTTGTGGTTCTACATGAGTCGTATTTCCTTATGTCTCGCAAGTCTGTAACGTAAATAGAAATTCGATATAGCTTACCCATATGATGCTTGCTAAGAACTGGGTCAAGATTGGAACGGCAGTCGGTCAACGTGACAACAGCATACTTTTCCCACTGATCATGAAGAAGGCCTTTCGAGGAATGAGTAGCAAGTATTGCAGCAGACGCTAAGAGCCCACATAATTTTATATCTCTTGAATTGCAACCCTGTAAAATTAATAATTCAAACATATTATGCAGGAATAGTTGTTACCTAATGGTTAGGACGCATCAATTGTAGAGAACCTAAAAAACCAAAAAAAATATGAGACCCTTGACCATTTGATTCTTTCTGCCTTTTCCATTCAACTGTGAAATACAATTTGTTTCACCTCCACCTCCAGTGAAGCCCTTGTTACCTCCACTTGGGGGCATAGGATTAATAGGCGAGTGGAGGTGGTGGCCTAGGCTCGGAATTACGATCAACCTCACACAGTAAGTTGAACCAAGCCTAAGTCCTAGCCCTAACAAAAATGATAGCTCGACCTAAGTCTTTCATAAATGATAGCCTTGGACTTGGGGAATTACGGTCAACCTCACACAGTAAGTTGAACCAAGCCCAAGTCCTAGCCCTAACAAAAATGATAGCTCAAGTCCTAAGTCTTTCATAAATGATAGCCTTGTACTTGGGGACTGTTGTTATGCTTCCACCTCTAGTGAAATCCTCCTAACCTCCACAAGAAGGCTACATAGAGGCTTAGGATAAATAGGCGAGCATGGATGGAGGCCTGGCTCAGGGATAGGTGTCACTGGCTTGTCATACGGGTTTACTTCCTAAAATAGGAAATTTGATTACATTTCTATAATTAAGGGATTTGATTATACATTATTTTATCATTCCTAGTATAGGAGATTTCTTTGTATATTACCATATTTAGAAGCTGTAATTCTTCTATTTAAAGGAACGAAAGAATCTCAATTGAGGCCATTCAAACAAAATCACGTTCTTGTCATGGTATCAGAGCTATCAAATTAAAAGAACTTTTTTCGCACTTGGAATCATTGAGGATCAAATTTTTGGTCCGGTGACAATTATTCTTGGTTCAAGTACTAACCTCGTTTGGCTCTTGTTGTCGATGGTGTCACGTTCCTACCAATTAAGCGTCTTCATCTTGGGGTTGTTGATTTTCTTGAGGATTCCAATTCGATTTCTATCCAACATCTCTAATCAAATTCTAGTGGAGTTTTTGTCCGACGATTTTGGTGCTGTGAGCGTGGAATTTCAATTGGGATTTTAGCGTTTTCAGTCTTTTTGCTGCCGACTTTCTTTGCTCTTGGTGGTAGGCGTCTCGGTGATTTCCCTTCATGAGCTCGGTGGTATCGTGTCTCTGGGTGAATATATTGGATCGTGTGAATCAGTTTTGGGTTCTTCCATTTAAAGATTGGATAATTCAATTGAGCTGTGAGTTGGGCCTTTAATTTTAAACTGGGCTATTTCCTTGATTAAATTATTATTAATCGTGGAGTTATCATGTCCGGAGAAAATTCAATTGTTCGTTTTAATGGAAAAAATTACTCCACTTAGAAACTTCAATTCAAGATATTTGTTAAGAATAAGGAATTGTGGGACCATGTGGATGGGTCGTTTCCAGCTCCTACAAAACCCAAGAAGCGTAGTTCATGGGAAAGCAAGGATGTTCGGATTATTTCTTGGCTACTGAGTTCTATTGAATCACATATGGTCAATAATCTTCGTTCGTTCACGACTGCTAAAGAGATGTGGGACTACCTTCGCCAGATTTATTATCAAGATAATTCTGCTAGAGTCATACTTCAGATTCTTCTTCTATATACATTTCTTCCTTTGATGATATATCCGATAAAGTTAACCGTTTTAATCCATGTATTGTATATCAGCAACGTAGTCCACAGCCTCTCACTATCTCTACCCCGATTCCAGATCCTGTGCTATAAGAGCCCCGTCGATCTACTTGAGTTTCACGACCACCGGATAGGTATTGGTTCTCACATAGTGCTCTTCAGGCCACTCTTGATAAAACTTTTGTGCCTAAGTCTTATTCTCAGGATTCTACTCAAGAATGTTGGCGAAAGGCTTGTCTAACGAGCTTCAAGCTCTTCAGGACAATTACACTTGGAATATTTTTACTTGTCCTCTCGAGCTCAAGCCTCTTGTGCAAATGGGTATATAACATCAAATTACGCGCTGATGGATCTATTGATAGGTATAAAGCTCGTCTGATGGCACTAGGGAATTATCAGGAGCATGGCATTGATTATGAGGAAACTTTTGCTCCTGTTGCCAAGATAACTACTATTCGCACAGTTATGGCCATTGCTACTTCGAAAGGGTGGCCACTTCGCCAGATGGATGTAAAGAATGCATTTTTGCAGGGATCTCTTAAGGAAGGAATATTTATGACCCCTCCACCTGGCATGTTTTCTTCTCGTTATACTGAGGTTTGTCTTAAAGCGGTCTTTATATAGTTTGAAATAGGCACCGCAGGCTTGGTTTGAAAAATTCCGCTTTACTCTTCTGGATTTTAATTTTACTAAGAGTCAGTATGACTCTTCTCTCTTCTTTCGTACAACGTCAACGTCTACGGGGATGGTTTACTTTTTGTATATGTAGATGATATTGTGATTACAGGTTCCGATCTTCAGTTGATTGAGCAACCTCAACAAAGACTCATGTCTTTCTTTCATATGAAAGATCTGGGTATCCTGCAATACTTTCTTGGACTTGAGGTCCAATATTCTTCATCTGGCACACTCTTGCTTCAGAATGAATATACTCAGGAGCTTCTCTCATTAGCCAGTCTTCTAGACAACAATTCAATTCTTACACCTATGGAGATCAATTTAAAGTTACAGAAGGCTGGTGGCGACCCCTTATTTGATCCCTCAATATATAAATAGTTGGTGGGCAATTTAAATTATTTGACCATTACTAGACCTGATATTGCATTTTATGTTCAGCAGGTCAATCAGTTTATGCAAGCTCCTTGCCAGACCCATTTAGCTGCTATCCATCGTCTTCTTCAATATCTCAAAGGTACCTCTGGCCGAGGTTTGTTCTTTCCATCTAGGACTTCGTTACAATTGGTAGGATTTTGTGATGTGAATTAGGCTGGTTGTGTTGATACTATCATTCCATCACCGGGTGGTATATGTTTCTTGGTGGTGCTCCTATCTATTGGAAAAGTAAAAAGCAGGCTCATGTCTCTAAGTCTTCCACTGAATCTGAATATTGGGCCATGTCGTTAGCCTCTTCTGAAATCATATGGCTTCGAGGCTTGTTAAGGGAAATTGGTGTTCCCCAACTTTCTCCTACTCCTCTCCATGCCGATAATACAAGTGCTATTCAGATTGCTAGTAATCCAGTCTTTCATAAGCGTACCAAGCATATTGAGGTAGATTGTCATTCTATTCGTGAAGCNTACAACGTCAACGTCTACGGGGATGGTTTACTTTTTGTATATGTAGATGATATTGTGATTACAGGTTCCGATCTTCAGTTGATCGAGCAACCTCAACAAAGACATGTCTTTCTTTCATATGAAAGATCTGGGTATCCTGCAATACTTTCTTGGACTTGAGGTCCAATATTCTTCATCTGGCACACTCTTGCTTCAGAATGAATATACTCAGGAGCTTCTCTCATTAGCCAGTCTTCTAGACAACAATTCAATTCTTACGCCTATGGAGATCAATTTAAAGTTACAGAAGGCTGGTGGCGACCCCTTATTTGATCCCTCAATATATAAATAGTTGGTGGGCAATTTGAATTATTTGACCATTACTAGACCTGATATTGCATTTTATGTTCAGCAGGTCAATCAGTTTATGCAAGCTCCTTGCCAGACCCATTTAGCTGCTATCCATCGTCTTCTTCAATATCTCAAAGGTACCTCTGGCCGAGGTTTGTTCTTTCCATCTAGGACTTCGTTACAATTGGTAGGATTTTGTGATGTGAATTAGGCTGGTTGTGTTGATACTATCATTCCATCACCGGGTGGTATATGTTTCTTGGTGGTGCTCCTATCTATTGGAAAAGTAAAAAGCAGGCTCACGTCTCTAAGTCTTCCACTGAATCTGAATATTGGGCCATGTCGTTAGCCTCTTCTGAAATCATATGGCTTCGAGGCTTGTTAAGGGAAATTGGTGTTCCCCAACTTTCTCCTACTCCTCTCCATGCCGATAATACGAGTGCTATTCAGATTGCTAGTAATCCAGTCTTTCATAAGCGTACCAAGCATATTGAGGTAGATTGTCATTCTATTCGTGAAGCGCTTGGTTGTTAAGAGATTTCTTTTCCTCATTCTCCACTGAAAATCAAACAGCTGATGTTTTTCCCAAAGCTTTATCTCACCATCGTCATTAGTTCATGGTTAACAAATTGATGCTTCTCGATCGTTCAACATCAATTTGAGGAGGATGTCAATGGGGTGTCATACGGGTTTACTTAAGATAGGAAATTTGATTATATTTCTATAATTAAGGGACTTGATTATATATTATTTTATCATTCCTAGTATAGGATATTTCTTTCTATATTACCATATTTTGAAGCTGTAATTCTTCTATTTAAAGGAACGAAAGAACCTCAATTGAGGCATTCAAACCAAATCACATTATTTTCAATAGGATCACCCCCCCAAACCAAGAAGCAAAGAGTGGAGGCCTAGGTTTGGAGACAAGACCCGGTGGCTCATACATCAGAGGTAAAGCTAGGCTCGAAGCTTCGCCCAAGCATCGAAGACTCAAGGCAGGCCAAGTAGGTCATTGGAGTGCTAGACATCAAGGACCCAAAGGCCCGTACATCCTCGCTTTGTTGAGTCAGATGCCTTGATGGAAGCCTAAGAGCCCAGGCTAAGGGCCTTGGTGCTAGTACTATCCAAGGTACAAGAAGCCCTCATAAGGCCTTGGGAGAAGGCATACGTGTTCGCAAACATGGGGAAGTGAGCCAAAGATACCATGCTACAATATCTAGTGGCTAACACAACGTATCAAGGTTGTTTCCTAGTAAGGAAGGTGTCAGGCCATGATGTCACGTCATACCACTCCAATCAAGAAAAATGAATGATTGGGTGATACAAGACAACAAAGAGTAATTCAGACACATGACAATTACCATTTAAGCAAAATCACATGCGATGCAAGTGGAAGTGACCTCATCAATGGCCCACTTCGGATAATTGATTGTGACAGGTCAACCACCCACTTGTTGGCAGTGAATGTGTGGGAAAAATCTTGCCCAGAGAAGTTGAAAGGCATTCTTGCATCTTGCATTGTATGAATACCCCCAAACTAAACCATGTATGTTAAATCATAAACCTAGTCAAAACGCTGTCAGTTTATCTTTCCAAACCGCGGTCTATATTCTCACTTGATCGTTAGGGTACAAACATTCGTTGCACCTATTTGGCATAACAATCTTGCATTCTAACGATAGAACGCAGAACCCAAAGATTGTAAACTTAAGTAAAGAGAACGTAGAGATTTTTTGTCAGAAGATCCGAAGTTAAGTTGAAGTCTAATCCTCATTAAGCATCCACCAAAGGATAACGCTCAACCACTTAGCATTAACCTAAAACAGCAGTAGAAGTTTATAGGTTACAGCCTCAAAACAAGAACCACAAAATGCAGAACATCACCAAAAAACCCGTAACCACACAAGGTTGTTGTTCACCTACTATCAACCAAAATCTGATATCCTTCAAACAGATGAAAACACTGAGTTTTTTCATTCCACAAAGGACTCAAAACAAAAGAAGGAATATGGAACTGGAGTTGAACCAACTGATAGAAATAGATGACAAAGAAATCGCCATCTTTAGAGAGAGAGAATTGAAATATTATTCTTTCTCTAGCGACTAATCACCTTTTATATGGAACCCATCAGAGAACCCCCCATCCAATAGTCAATGAGGATCCACATGTCACAATAGTAGATTAAGTTGCACAAATGAAAAATCGCATTCCACACCATCACGTTGTTGGCTCAAAATATTTGAAGCAAAACATTAGAAAGGTCAACCAGATTTGGGGTCAACACAATTTACACAGATTCTAGCACTTGTACAGGGGCATGCATAGCTGAACCGAGCCAAACTCAGATTTAAGTGGATATAGATTTTTCTTTAGTTTTACCCATGTCAAGGATTCCTTTGGGTCCAAACAAAATAATCAATATGGTTTTTATGTGTAGGGTTTGGTGACCAAATGAAATGCACAATGGAACTATAATATTGAAATGCTAGACTAAATTTTTGTTACAAAAAAGCTATTCTTCTAAAAAGAGTCCTCTGTGCCTCTAACTTTCATCGGATTCATAATACAATAAAGCTCCAACAATGTTAAAACTAGCATTGCTTTGCTACTGCCGGCCGCCACCTTCAGTCTCCAAAATCATCATACGAACACCATGATGTCACTGCTGCCATATCATCATCAATGCCAAGCATGCATATAATGTAACATAAATCATGCATAAATTTAGAAGAGACGTGTAATATATGCACATATACAGGTGTATACACACACATATTCATGAAAATGAAACATAGATCCTATGATGCGTCCATCTTCAAGTTAAGCATTTCCTAAAGTAAATTGTGGCACAATCTTTTAGCGAAGTAGTATATCAATTATGTTCTTATGCTTTCTTTTCTACCAACCACGTTTTGCATTGGAGACGGGTGTTCTTGGGTGGGACAGCATAAATAAGTAAGCATTTTCTCTTCATTCTGTCGCTCTTCATTTATTTTTTTCCACGAGGGAGTGGGGGTTGGATGGGAGCTGTAGCAAGAACAACTTCCCTCATCCAAAAGAACAAGGATAAGCATAAGCATAAAACTAGTACTGAATGACATTCGATGAGCCGGCAGTTGGATAGAAGTGTGCATACAGTAAAACAACTTGTGCAATGCAGGATACATAAGGATATATTAATAGGATAACAGTCATTTCTGTATAGAGATTAACAGCCATTTTACCATAAAGACAGAACTAATAGCAAGCATTCTTAACTTTCATAGAAAAATAGTGATGGAGAGCAATTCATAAACTGCAATACAATGATTCTGGATCCCCCTACTTAGGACCCATTGAATGGCTTTGAGAAGTCAAAAGGATCTTTGGTTTGGCTAATTTTATAAAAGTGCCTCTTCAAATGAGAAGAGCTCTTAAAGAAAGTTGGTCAATGATGCTTCCTCTAAAAGCACTTTCGGAGTAAGAAGCTCTTCTTCAGGAAGCAAAATCAAAAGCAAAAGTCATGCCGAACAGGCACTTAATTGACTTGGATGAAAGCTCAAAAGACAACAGTATACTATGTTGATATTAAGATAAATTCTATATACCCAGAGACTTAAAAGGCCAATGTATAAATTCAATCAACATTCAGTTGAATTAACAGCTAGCAAATTTCGCTTAAAAATGCATCACTTACAGATAGAATCCGATCGGTGTCTTCTGAATTCAACTGCAGCCTCACAACTCGTGACATCCTAGGCGCCTCGGTATCCTTAAAACTTAGATTGGCCAACCTTAAACTATTCAAAGAGTATCCCAGCATGTCGACTCCACGAGCCCATAAAGGCTTATTAGCCTTCCCACTAGGAATGTCATCCTCAATTCCCAAATTAACCTCCATTTCTTTTCCTGATTCCGATGAATCGAAACCCTCCCCGCCAATCAATCCCAATAGCTCCCGTAACAATGCCAATGCTGATGTCCTATCACATGCTGAAGTGTGCAACCGGAGGGCCACAACCCAATTCTCATTTTCCAAAGTGTACACGCTGGCAAAGAAAAGATCAATGTCCAATAAAGGTTCATGATTCTGCCACGCGTTCTTATTCAGCTCGTGTTCCATGATAAGGTGAAAGGGGGAAATGGAGGAGGGAGTGGGATTGCCATTGTCGATGGTTTGGAGAATCTGGGACGTCGATTGGAGATCGAATGGTCGGATTTGGAGTTGAGGAGTTGGGGGTGTGACGTAAGAATAAGAATTGGAAGTGGGGCTCAAATGGAGTTGGGAATTGAGAATCGGATGGGAAATTTGAAGTTTATGGAGGGCATTTCGGAGAATTGTGATATCCAGAGGTTTCGACAAGAGGAGGCCCAGTACAGTTATACCAGTGCCACCAGGCACCGCCTTGCACCAGCTGAGCTCGGTACCTCCAACAGGGCGGCACTTGGCCTCGACTGGCGGCGCGTTGGACATGGTTCTGTCAAGTAATGTGCAGCTGTATTGTTCTGGTCTTGTATGCTATCATTGTTTGTAACGCTACATAAGCTGATAATTATTTTCTTCAGTGTTCTTTTGGCTGCCAGTGGAAAATGGTAAATTACACTTTACACCCTAAATTAGTAAATTGTTTTCAATTATTGTCTCTTTATATGTACTATTTCCCTTTTTTAAGTTACCTGTTCACTTTACATCCTATGTTGTCTTCAATCTAGCCCTTTATTTGTTCTATTCTTCTTTTCTTCAAATTATTTGTGCTTGTGGTAGGGGTGAGCACATTTTGTCTTGTTAAATATTTATTTATTTAAAATTGAATTGAGTCGATTTCAATTGAATATTTTATAATGTGAAATTTCATAAACTTGAGAGCAATATATTTTTGTGCTAATGAAAAATGAAGAAGAAGAAGATGATGATGCATTTAGCTTATATATAAATGTAAAAGAAGTATCTTGTTTTGACATTAAAATCGAGTTACTTTCAAAATAACTTAGTAATTCTCAATTTTGAATAACAAAGGAAATTGTTTATGTTAAAAATTACTTATTTACTTTTAGGTCATCATTTTATACAGCCAAACATGCACCCTTATTTTTAATTTTATATTTATTATTAAGAATAACACTTTATTAATTTGTTAATCTTAACTCTGAAATCTCTCCATGGACAAAATTTCTTGTAGCCTTGGCATCTAAGCCCCTATATGAATTAGTTTAAAAAGTTAATAAAAATTTAAGTCAAGTCAACAATTAATTTAACTACGTTTCATGGGATTCGCAACTTCTATTAATTTTTTATCCCACATTTTATCAACTTTTATTAAAATCTACTGTAAATAAGACTTTTAACTAAGGCTAAGAATTATAAGGCCAAACTTTAATATTGGTATAAATCACCATAGTCTTTCATTCAATTTAACTTAATAATAATGCATTAATCTTATTTCTCCAAATAAAATGAACCCTAAACTTTCTTTAGAATGCATTGGATTCAAATCCAATACATCACAAGAAATTTGTTGAAGATATGACATTTTAGGTTGAACAATACAACACAGTCTTAATATATAGTCCAGAATGACAAGTATTCATCAACCAATCAGGCAATCAAACTTGCATCAATCAAAACCCTCTTCATATGATCAACCAGTTCATTGATCTGCTCCCTTGAATGCAATGGTGATGGATAAACACAAAGACAATCCAATTCGCCACCTCGTACTGTGTCAAAAATGGCGATGGACGGTCCAACTCCATGGATAGAAGCACATCCCATGTAGTCCTCTACTCCAAGCTCTTTCTGCATTTCATTAGAATTATCGAACACGGGATCCTCAAATACCGAGATAAATGAACTTCTAAGTGATGATGATGCAGTTAATCCAGGATTTTCAATGGCTTTGCACATCAGGAAGTTTAGATCAGCCATGTCTGAAAAATGTTTGTTGAATTTCTTGTAATCTGCAAAGGCCATGTAACTCTTTTTCGCCAAATCCCACAGACTTTCAGTTCCTTTGACAGTGTGTATGTTGAGGATTGCAGAGTGGTAGAATCCTGAAACACAATGCATCATTAATCTAAACATTGCCACAGTAAAAATTGGCAGTTTTACCTAAATAACTTCTAGTGTTGAACGAGGTGATCATCTAAAAGTTTCATTTTTTTCATCAAAGGTGTTCAGTCTCATTATAAGATTTGTCTCCTAGCCTAGGCAGTGAAACGGGGTTTCTTACCAAACTGGTGACTAGAAAGAGGTGGTTCAAGAATAGAGCGGCAATCGGTAAGAGTCACTACTCCATATTTCTTCTTTGTCTGATCAGAATTGCTTTTAGAAGAATGCGCCGCGATTAATCCAGCAGCTGCTAGAGCTCCACACAGTTTAATTCCTCTAGATTTGCAACCCTGAATAGATTTATAAAGTTGAAGTTTCCTTAAAATGAATAATATTGTTATACTAAACCTAAATACAGGATTAAACAAAGACTTACGACAAGGATCCTGTCCGTGTCCTGTGTGTTCATTTGTAGTCTCACAACCTCGGAACATCTGGGCCACTTCACATTCTTAAACTTCAAATTTGTAAGTCTCAATGAATTCACAGAATATCCCAACATGTCCATGCCATGAACCCAGAATGTTTTCTTTGCCAGCCCACTTGGAATGAGATCCTCAATTCCCAAATTACCCTCCGTATCAATCTCTATTCCCTTCTGCACCTCATCTTTTCCACCGTCACCGTCCTTCGCCAGTTCCATCAGCTCCCTGAGCAAAGACACGGCCGTGGTCCGGTCGCATATCACGGTGTGAAACCGAAGCACGATAACACATTTTGCATCAGGCAATGTGTATACACTAGCAAACATTACATCAATGCCATTAGATGGGAAGGAACTGGGATCAGACCATTTGTTGCTGTTCAGTTCATGCTCCAAAAGTAAATGAAACGGAGAAAGATTATTAGAGTTTCCTTTGTCGCTCAGTTTTTTAAGGAGCTCTAAGGTTGATGACGGATCGAACGAGTTGATTTTGACAGGTGGAGCAACATCGGTGTTGAGGAATGAGAACTGTTTCGTTGAGGTGTCATAGTGAAGTTTGGATCCGAGGAGAGGGTGGCTACTTTGGAGCTTAGCAAGTACGTTGTGTAGAACCGAGATTACAAACGGTGGTTTAGTCATTTGCAGACCCAGCACCGTGACTCCTGTGCCACAAGTCACCGCGCGACACCAACTGTGCTCAGTTCTACCCATTACTCGAGATTTAGGCTGAAACAGTTTAGTCTTCTGATCTTTAGTCCCAGCCATCTCGTACTCGACAGTTGGGTGGACGGAGGGGCGGCGACGGGTGGTGGTTGTGTGCTGGAGATAACGGATTTAAAAAACAATATATGTTACTTAGGATAAATTGAAGGCATGCATGCATTGGCCAATTGGGTGATACATATAAAGGAATTAGGAATGGACCCCAGTGTGGTACAAATTAATTAGTGTTTAAGATGGAATAATTTATGCCAAACCAAATTAAATTTGTTGTCCACCCAACGAATAATTGACACTTCATTTTAAATTAACATGTCCAACTTTTTTTGTATTGTTGCTTGTATTCAATATTAGGTGACACTTTAATATAAAGTAATGTGTCAATCATTCATTATTGTACAACAAATTTTAGATAACAAATCTCAACTAATGTTGAAGATTGTTGCGTGCCTTGAGTAAATTGAAGAAAGCCAAGAGTACATTAGCAGAGCAATGACTACTATTGCTAATGCATTAAAGTGGATCGAGAATGTTGCTAGAAGGACTTTTTGGCAAAGTAAAGTAAGGTCAAAAGGATTGCATTGAAGGCCATCATCTACCATATTTGGATGGTAAGAAATAAGAGAAATTTTGAGGATCTAAGACTGCATGTGGATAATATTGTTACATAAAACAAAACACACGTATATAAAGTTATGTTTTTTTTGTATCCAAATGTTTTGATTCAATTTGAGTCTTTAACGATGGGTTTATAAATCATATCGTTTGTACATCTTTCTTTTTGTTTTCCGATTATACCAGGAGTAGTTGTACGAGTCACTTTGATCAATAAAAAATCTCACATTTATCGATTAAAAAAAAAAAGAAGAAGAATAAGAAGCCAATAGTACATTTTGAAACAGTAACATAACATGGATATGACCAGTGGAGCCGAAAAGGTCTTAAATGCCATTAAATTGTCGATTTGAATATTTGCACCCGAAACCTGACACTCGAATCCCTGTTTTCTCCAGTGTGGCCGTAGCTCTACGTCACCTATGTATATTAACTGCGACTGAGAAGCAGATATTTCAATTCGCTTAAACCCGATACTTGCTATATTAACTGCGACCGAGAAGCAGATATTTCAATTCGCTAAAACACTATACTTGCTTAACCATTAATAGAGAGTGTGAGTGTGTGTGTGTGTGTGTTTTGTCGGTTTAAATGCAGTGAATGACATTTTTATTTTATTTATAAAATTTTATAAATTCAATGAAAATGTCATTCACTTAATCTCAATTATACGTTCATAATTACTACTAACTATTTGTTTTAAAACATATTAATAGTTGAGAAGTATTTATAAACGGTTTAAGTAATAAATAAATAAAAATGAAAGGTAAATAAATCAGTAAAACTTGTGTGTGTTTCTCAAACAATGTGGATAAAAAGTTATATGCATGTTTATAAATCATTTATAAAGATGAGCAAACATTGGCAGATTACTTGCAAATGAAATTACGACTTCAAAGCTTGGGCCGACGAGCACTTCTAAGTTTCATCCAACTTTTAAAACTCAAAAGCATGTTTGAGAATTGTCTATAGTTTGTTTTAACTTATAAATATATAACAATAAATGGTGAATAAGTAAATAATACTTGTAGATCTTATAAAATATGTGGATAAAAAAATGATTTAAATTATTATAAACAAGAGACAAACAATGACTTAGCTGACATCTTAAATGTTAAGTTTTTATTTAGTTTCTTGCTGCGTGCAATTTTCAACACAATTATTTAAGGTTAAGTAAGCAGTTCAGCTAGTGTATTAACGCTCTATCTATATGACGCTATATGGTAAGTTTAATTAAATGTAGGCTTATGTCACCACATTTAATTGAAAATGATGATGTATCCCTAGTGGAGATCTTCCTCATGTGATGAGGTAGGTGATTGGTCATACCATTTAAGGATACCTCTTTCATTAAACTTAGAGCATCTTCGAGAGCAGGGACGGATCCAGGATTGGATCCACGATCGGGCTACAAAATTTCAAACCGGGCTACTACATGGAAAAAAAAAAATTTTACACATAAAAAACTGATCTTTACCCAAAAAAAATAAAAAATACCTTAAAAAAAAATTCTTGGACCTGGGGGGGGGGCTACAGCCCAACCCCCCTATATCCGTCTCTGTTCGAGAGATCCTTTTTTTATAAAGAGCATCTCACATATAATGGAGAACATCTTTAAATTTAAATTTTAAAGTAGCATTTCTCTTCGGATTGTCACTTTTGTTCCCAACCTTTC